AAATTGATATTCCGGAATTAGTCTCCTTCTATTGACAATGGGCATTAATCTGGTAAGAAATAAATTTTCCAACAACTTTGACATAACCGGTAGAAGACTAATTGGTCTATATGACTTAACATCTTTTGCCGTTTTCCCAGGTTTGAGTATCATGGTGATTTGAGCCACCTTGAATTGAGGAGGGATAAAGCCTTTTGTGACAATAGAATTAAAAATGTTTCGCAGCAGTACTATTGCTTCATCCGGTAACTCCTTTAATATTTTTGAAGTAATTAGGTCATAGCCGGGTGCTTTATTTATTTTTAGTTTCTTGATTTCAAATTTTATGTCGAAAATGGAGAATTTTTGTATTGGAAGGTCCAGTTGGTGCGTTTGCAGTAAAACCTCTCTAATCTCTTCAGATATACTATTTGGGGCTTCATTAATGTTTGGAACAAAAACTGAAGACAGATGGTCCTTAAATACTTTGCATTTTTCTGTATCTGTTCGGGCCCATTGCCCAAGTTCGTTTTTTACTGGTGCATTGTGCGTTGTTGTCTGTTTCTTGATTGCTCGCCAGAGAGAGTAGTTGGTGGAAGTAGTTGCGTCTAGTCTTTGGAGATTTCTTTGTATTTCCAAATTTCTGGTTGTTTTCAGATGTTCTTTTAGATTTTTGATCAGCACATTAAAAAGTTTTTTATCTTTCGGAGATTTGGTTTGTTGCCAGCGCCTTCTGGCTGCTCTTTTGGCTCTTATAAGTTCTTGAGTCGTACTACATAATGGTGTGGGGAATTGTTGCATGTTTGAAGGCGTGGATCTCCAGGCTGATTGTTGAATACTCCTTATAAGATGTTCAGTTGCAAGCGCAATTTCTTCGTCTGTTTTAAGCGCCATTTTTCATCAAGTAATGCCTTAAGTGTATGCCTAAAGGCATCCCAGTTGGTTAATTTGTTGTGCAGATAACATTTTTGAACTTTAAGTTGTATATTCGATTTTATCCGTAATAATACTGGCGAGTGATCTGATGAAAGATCAAAGCTAGATTTACAGAAAGTGTCGTTTTGTCGCACTCCTTTAGTAACACAAAAGTCTAACAAGTCTGGCATTTTTTTGGGATCCGTGGGCCAATAAGTTGGTTCTCCAGACGAGATAGTTGAAAGGTTTTCGCTTCTTATAGCCGCAAGCATCTGTCGTCCTTTGGGTGTTGAAAGCCGAGAGCCCCATTCAACGTGTTTAGCATTAAAATCTCCCCCCGCAATAAATCTGTTACCTAAGGTTCTAAAGAATTTTTTATATGTTGCCGTCTTAGTTGCGTGTTTTGGTGGACAGTATACTGATGTTATTGTGATTGAGCCACACCAATCTTTTACTGATATGCTGGTTGCTTGAATCTCTTCAGTGCGGTATTGTTGCATTTCAAAGTGTAATATATTTGTTTTAACTAAAATGCCACTTCCCCCATGAGCCGTTCCATCGGGATGCATAGTGTGGTAAAAGTCATAGCCTGGTACTTTAAAATAATGTTTTGAAGTAAAACGTGTTTCGGATATTAGCATGATGTCTACTTTTTGATCTTTTAAAAATTCTTGTAGCTCTAAACAATGTTTTGACAGCCCATTCGCATTCCAGAGCACTATATTTAATTCACTGTCGGACATAATTTAGTCGTCAGCGTGACAAGAACATTCATTAACGTAGTGATTTGTTCTAACATTTGCTTAACTACTATTAGAACTTCGCTCATGGTATCTGGAGATTTAGGAATAGTATGAGATTTAGGTGATTGTTCCACTAGCACACTAGCATAACTTCTTTTGGGATCCCTTGGGATAGAAACTTTGTCTTTTTCTTCGTCAGTTTCTTTGTTTGTAGTTGTTGTTGGTTTAGGTTTTAGTGTTGGAAATTTCGCAGTTTGTAGCTGCTTATAAATCGAACAGCCTTTATAATTTGCAGGATGGTTTCCTTCACATAATACGCATTTGACTTCAGTACTTCTTCCTTGGATTGGACATTGAGACGAAGAATGGTTTTTTGCACATTTGATGCACCTCGGATGTCTTCGACAATAACTTTTCGTGTGGCCATAGTCTTGGCAGTTACTACACTGAGGGATGTCTCGTTTAGGACGAGGAGGCTCAAACGTGACTCGACTATGCATCAAATTCTTTATGCTGTAGATCTCCTTGTTATTTTGTTGAGGCTCAAGTTCTACAATGAAGAGAGGAAGTGGTTTTTTCGATTCTCTGTGTTTCATATTGAACACGTTTAGAGCTTTATGACCTATTTCCGCCAGAGCTGTTTTAATGTCCTCGGTATTGACAGACGAATGCATATTTCTCAGGATAGCTTTAAAATTTCGTTCATCTTTAGGCTTGTAGGTATAAAATTCGGTTTTTTTCGATTCTAGTTGCTTTACTATTGTAACATAAGACTCAGTTGTTTTTGCTTGGATTTTTACCTTTTCGTTGTTTAAAACTTTTAGCTCAAAATTGTTTTCTACTTGTGAGGACAAAAGATTTATGAGAGGATTTATGTTATTCACCCTATCTACGAATATTGGTGGAGGTTTGGGCTGCTTTTCGGCATGTTGTGTCACTTCTTCAACTTCTTCCTCTTCTGTTTCTAGTACTGAAAATCTATTTGCGGAACGGCTTGGATTGTCTAGCCAGTAACTATCTAATTTAGCTTGTTTTTTAGTTTGTTCAGCATTTTTTGAACGACGAATTTCAGGACTTGAACGAGTTCTTTTCTGACTTTCTTTTGGAAGATTAATTTTTTGTATTGAAGAGTTGCTTAATGAGTTTTCTCTTGAGTTTCCCTTCGATTGAGTATGTACTTTGAAAGTTTTTTGGCTGTTCTGCTCTTTGTGCACAGGTGTCGAGAACATAGCGCAATTTGATGTAGTAGGTATTTCGTTCAGTATATTGTTTGATATATTAGCGATTGAACTTACCGAAGTTGTTGGAAGTAAAGATAAGGCATGAGTAGACGAAACGGATATCTGAGTTGATGTAGAACTCAAGGTGTTAGTTATCGAGTTTGCAGTGCATACTGTGACGCTATTTGTAGTACATGTAGATGTTGAGCAGGAATGTGCTATTAGATTTGATGGGGAGAGTCCCACCGTGAGCGTATGAGGTGAGCTTATCAGTGGGGTACGGCATTGTTCACTCCAAGAGTGAGATATATTACCTAGTTTTTGGTTTAAACAAGTGTCGTAGTTTTTTTCAATTGAGTTTGAATTGTTTTCGGCCTGTAGCTGTTTTTGGCTTCGTGTTGCTAAGGGACTTCGTTGAACACTCATTATTTGAAATTGTGTTAGTTAATGTTTGGTTTTCGTTGATCTTATTTTGCTATGCACTGGAGCGTTCGCATAAATTAGCGTATCGCCCATGCAGCAGAACAAGTGATTTTTGAGTAGAAATTATTTTAATAAGATTAAATTATTTTTAAAAAAAAAAAAGAATCGGTTAAATTAAAATGTTAATTAGTATAAAAATGTACCATATATCACATTTGATTTTGTTTAAGTTGTATTTTAAATGCAAATAAATATTCAAATATTAATATAAATAAATTTTTTATTATTTTAATAAAATAAATATTAAATATTAATATAAGTGTTCCAAATTTTTCACAAAATAACACGTATTAAATTTATGGATAATTAATTTTATCCAAAATTCGTTTTAGCGTTTTGCAACACTTATTTTAGTTTATTATTTTAAGTTTAAAAGCTTTTATTTGCTGTCTCTATCAGCTTTTATGTGTTTGTGTATAGAAAAACCAGACACTAGTGTAACTATCTGTCTCTGTCAGATTTGTTTAATTTAAATTAAATTTACGTTCCAAAATAAGGCGAATTATTACAAGAGCGCCAAAATCTTTATGCTATCACAATATAAATACGAACAATTGATTTGAACATTTATTCACTATTTCAATAGTTTTTGCATATATACTGCGATTCAGCACTCAATAACTTCGTTTATCTTGAACTTTGTATGTAGTTATCGCGCTAAACACCCGCTAACTAGTAAAACTTTGCAAGAGCACTATAAAACACGTCCGTACGTGGAGAAGACTGATCAAAGAATCCAATAAAAATAAGCCGTAATTATTGTCTAAATAAGTCTAAATAAATAAATGGTCTAAATAAGCCGTATTTATTGAGCCGGAGTAGCTAAAGTTGTGTTAGCGGATAAAAAGATTTTTGTGCTATCAAAAATACCAATTTAAATAAATGATACTAAAAATTGTCTACTTCATATTAGTAAACTTACTGAACTTAAGTTTAAAAAAGTTTAACAAAAATATAATTAAAATTTAGTTTTTAGCAATATAATTAATTTTATTTTTACTAATAAAGTATTGTTGAATTTATTGTTAAATCAGTAGTGTGTAGTAATTTTCATATAATATATTATATTTCAATATACCATATAGTTTAAGTATTTCTCCAAACATTTTGTAGTTGCTTATATATATTTTCGATGCTTCTGCTTATTAGTCTTTATAGGTTCTTTTTCGATTTTTTATCTTTTATATTTTTAAAACCAATATTACCTTTTATATTATAAATTTTGTCTTGTTTTATTTGAATTGCTTGTTTTTATTCAATTTAAAAAAATATATTAACGTATTAATTTTTGCTGTCTCTATTTTATTTTGTTACTGCTAATCGTACACTTATTAAATTCACCTCGACATCTTCATTACTTTAACTACTCACCACATCACCATGAACTAATACAAAATTACAACAATAACTCAACAACTCAACATTTATGGCAACAAATTACATATTCGCTTGCTCTGCCTGGCATTGTGTGTGTGTGCGTATTCATGCTTTTTAAACAATAACAAAATATAAAATCAATTATAAACAATAACCACAAATTTGACAAAACATTATTAACAAACAAACAAATTAACAAACAAACACTCGTTACAATAAAAACAATAAATGTTGTATTGCTGATTTGGACATATTTGCTGAAATGTTGTTGAATTGTGCTTAGAGCAACTTTGGGTCAAGGCATACGTTCGGGTTGTGGCATAGTTCCTATTACTGGACCCGGTGGCCTACAGCACTATGCCACGGCCGATCGACGTTCAAGCGGCAGTTTAAGGGTAAGTCTTTTTCTATATCTTTTCTTTCGACTATGCTATTGTCTATTAGATATACAATTTTATGTATTAGTTTTATTTTCTCAAAATTAATATTAATTAAAATTAAAATCGTAAAATCAACTAAACTATAATTGAAATGATATAACTGAGAGCATATTTTATATACTTGTACTGTCTCTTTCCTAGCCTGTATTGTCGTGAAGCTTTTGTTGTCTTTAACATATAAGAACTGAACTATTTTCTTAACAAATATATAACTAAATTGTTAATTGTTTATAAACGAAACTCGATGTCTAAACTTAATGCACTGCTAAATGTTTTTACATTAATTTTATAAATATGTATGTACTTCTTAATAATGAATTGTTATTAGAATGTACACGATTTAATAACTTACTCGTATATATCTTTTATGTTGGCATATTTCAATGTAATGATAATTTTATTTATTTTTGAACTAAAACTACACGAATAATCGCAAAATTGCATGTACTATTCATATAATGTTTAACTCTTAAGTAGATTAGTGTCTTTATATATGTATGTCTCTCTTAATAAATGTGTTATATTTCAAATTTATTGTTGGAAAAGTATTTCAATTTCACACAGAAAGGGAAAGTAATCGTTTTGTAGGTCAAATTAAACAACAAAAACTTTAAAATTAAAGATTATGTTTTGAGATACTTTACTCTTGTACTGTTAATACTTCATAGCTTACATTCAAACAAAAGATATAGCAGAACTTTTTAAATTGAATAGCCAAATTATCTTAATTTCGTAAAAATGAAATTAAGTTAATTTCGAAAGTGTTCATACTAACCCAAATTAAGGAAATCATCGTTTCAACGAAATTATAGCCACTTTTCTTAATTTCGTTCTAATCTTAAAATTGAATTTTGTATGGAAAAACAACTTAATTTTGCTAAACGAAGATTAAATTAAGATTTTTGCGAAATTAAGTTGTGTCTGAACATAATAAAAATAGAATGTTAATAGAAAACATGTATGTTAATAAATATCTCATAGTTAGCATTCAGACTAAAGATATAGCAGAGTTCTTAAATTAAATAATATGTTATTAGAAAAAAATCACTTTTGATGAATGGCGGTAAGTCGATTAGATGAAGTTTTCTACTTTCAAACAAAAATATTTATAATCAATAAAAATTTAATTACTGAATTTCATAAGTGGTTAAAAAATTTTAATAATTCCGTCTACTTACATTTAAACCTAAATAAACAAATTAACATTAAAAGTAACTTGACGAAAGTAAACAATTGAAGTAAAAAGGGTTGAGTACGGTTTAGAGTGTATGGAAAATTGTTGTGAAAAAAAGAAGTAATTATTTCTTATTAAATTTTTATAAACAAAATAAACTTAAAATCAAAGGATGAATTTAGATATAAGAATATTGAAAAAGTTTTTGGAGGAAGCTGTTTCTCTCAAAGAATATATACAACTTTATACGAGACACATCATTTTAAACGAAATAGCTTCATGTTTAAATGTACAACCAAAAAAGTGTTAGAATATTCAAGAACTTTTAGAGAAAGCTATTCAAGGAATATATATGAAATATATCTTAATAACAGAATACACTTTGAATTCAGAAGTATATTTAAAAGAAATGAAATAAGGCTGATGAACTTTTCAGGAAAGCTGATTAGGGGATATATATAAAATATATGTGTACATCTGAAATTGTTCAGAAACATATCCATATTGCAACGTTTAAATTCATAAGGATTGCAAAAAGAAAAACGACAATACAAAAGAATTTTAATTTTAAAGATATGTCTGGTTTATTCAACAAACATGTATATATATATGTCTCAAACTTTTGAAGAACATATCTTCCTTTCAGAAAGTACTTGAAACTTGCAAATGAACCTCAAAAGATTTCTCATTCTTTTGCTGTTAAATGTTATAAATTTATTTTTAATTGAATCCCAAAAAGGATGTCGAATAAACCACATTAAAATAATTAAACTAAACAATCAATAGGGTCGTGATTTTGGACTGACCTTGGTATAAATATAATTGTTATTATTAATATTATTAATAATTATATATCACTATTATTTAATGAGGCATTATTTGACAATATCTACCCACGACAAACCCACCTTCAACAATGTTCTCATATAAGCAAGTCATCAGACTGTCTGCTTTGTATGGTTGTGTCGCTTTAGTAAGGCAACTAAATCCGCTCATGAGGAACTGCAATTACTTCAAGGAAGAGATTCAAAATACTGTTGTATGTCAGAAACTCATGAAAATCTTTTTATTGAAATCATTACTATGTAGATAAAGGTTTTAGAGCAACCAAACTTATCAGTAAAATAGAATTATTATTATTGTTAAGAAATATGGCACTGCGACCGTCGGGTCTATTGTGCCCCCTTCTGGTTTTAGAGCAGTTCTCTAAGCTCTGTTATGTCAATAAAAAGTAGTATAAAACCTACTTTACAGAGTTTTATTGCGTCTTCCGTAAGAATATACATTCCCAGGAGCCCAAAATTAGAAAGTCATCCTAACAGTTCTTTAGATCAGTTTGAAAAATTATAGCAGCGGAGGGAAACTTTCACAATACTCGCTCATTGATACTTCAAGCAAAAAGAGGTGTTACCATAAAAACGATGTAGATTGCTAGATATTACCAGTTTGAGTCAAATGAGACGAGCCTATATAAAGGTGCCAATTGTTATCAACTCCTTTAAATCACAATGCATATGTAACCATCAGACGGTACTATTAATGTGAGAATAATCTATTTAAGTTACCTTAAATATACATCGTTTGAATAACTAATACTATTATATATCTTAAAGAAATGATCAAATCCCTTATGCAAATTTTGTCTTGCTTAAAATAATAAGAAAGCAACTTTTCAACTAAAATTAATACTTAATTCCAGAAATACTTAAATTTTATATATTTAAATATTTATTTCTGTGAATGGTTAAAAATTAGATCTGGCATTCTGGTTATAACAACCAGGGATCAATAGATCAACATATATGTGAATAGGTAAAAAATTGATCCAGCATTCTGGTAACGAAAATCAAGGACTAATACTTATCCGAACGGGCGAAAACAGTTGTAACATTCTGGTTACAAAAACAAAGAATTAATAGATCAATACTATAAATGAACCATTTAATCATTGCATTTCTCATGTCTGTCAAATTTTCATTTAGTATGGTGAGCGCAGTCCAAATATTAGAATAATAGCTCCAAATTGAATTTACACACTTACAGAATAAAAATTACAAATGTAATTTTTATACCTCTCTGCTATATGCACACTGGTTACCAAGTTCGTTTAATTTCTATCTGACATCTTCTGCAACCTTTTTTTAATTGAGAAAATAATTTAATGGACTCTGCTAGATTTGCATTGCTATATCTACTCTATTCAATGCTGAAGACAAATTTTAACAGATTTTTTAAGAGATAGTTTGACATGCCGATTTTTTATGTTGAGAATGATATATTAATTATGAAATGACGTCAATAATCTATAGTTACTTTTTACAATAAATTTTCCATAATTAACTCATCGTTTGTTGTCATTTTCGTTAGGGATCTTCGATAGTCATTTTTGATAGTACTCTTCGATAGTCACCCTGATAGTCATATTCGAAAGTCAGTGTCAATAATTAACTTCGATAATCAATTTCAATAGTTATATTTAATAGTCAGCATTGATGGGCGTATTCGATAGTTATATTCCAAAGCCATCTATGACAGTCATCTTTAATTATTATATTCGATAGACATTTTTGATAGTAATCTTCGCTACTCATCTTCGATAGTCGTACTCCAGGGTGAAGCATAAAATATAAATAACTTCGATGGTCATCTTCGATAGTCATGTTAAGTAATTGTCTTTAATAGTCATCTTTGATAGTTATATTTGAAAGTCATTTTTGATAGTCATCTTCAAGAGTTATTTTCGATCATCATTTTTCATACACATCTTCGATAATCTTCTTCGATGGTCTCATTCAATAGTCACCTTAGATAGTCATCTTAATCACTTTGATAGTTATTTTCTAAAGTCATATTTGATAATCATCTTCAAAAGTTATTTTCGATAATCACTTTTTTTTAGTCATCTTCTATGATCATACTCGATAATCGTCTTAGATGGTCTTCTACAAAAATCACCTTAGATAGTCAGTTTCAAAAGTCATCTTTGATAGTCATCTTGAATAGTTACATTTGATAATCACGTTGATAATCATTAATAGTAATTTTCCGTAGTCCTTTTCGAAAGAAATCTTTGACAGCCATTTTCAATAATCATCTTATTGTCATTTTTGATAGTCAGTTATCTTTGATAGTCATAAATTTTTTCCATAGGTATCTTTGAAAGTAATCTTAGTTTCTACAGCTAGTTTCTATAGGCATCTTCAATAGCTATCTTAAATGGCCATCTTCGACAGTTATCGTTGATAGTCATGTTCGATAGTTATATTCGATAATCAAAAATACCTTTTAAAAACAATTACTTGTTGCTTTGATTAATTGATCTATTAGGTCAGTATGTATTAATTAGTATTTTCGATTGAAATACTGACAAAACTATATATTTTTTATCATTTCTATAGAATGTTAAATTGTTCAACATCAACTCATCTAATAAATCTACTCATAATGAAATTTATTATATTTTCTTTATTCTGTAAATCTTTTCTTCAAAACTTATCGTCTATCCTGTGAGTTTCAAAATTTTATCCAACAATTTCTCTTCCTTTCTTCTTCAACACTGGTTGATTGGCAGAAACCCACGATTATAATACAATAGATCAGTAGTAGTATACAATACACTCGTAAAATTAATAGAAATCGCCATAGAATTACATATAAAAATTTCTTTACAGTGAATTTATATTCATATAACAATTTTTAAACAAATATATCTAAAATATTTGCTAAGATAAATATTAAACAATAAATATTAAAAAATAACAAAACATCCACTGACGTACATTTTAATAGAAATAAAATAAACTACGAAGTATAAAATTAATTTTACAAGATCAAGAATATATAATAATCAATAAAAGATATTATTTCTAATTTTACAATATTTTATTAGCTTTTCTAATATATATAAACATTAAATAATTTTGAATATGTTAAAAATAAAATTTTAATTAATTATATAAATATTAATATACTGTGAAATAAAAAAGTAAGAACACATATAAACGTTAATTAATTAAATATTTAATAAATGAGATATAATATTAAATATTATAATTTATAAAATATTTCATAATTTTGTATTATGTGATTTTATTTTTTTGTCATAAATTTAAAACTATAAAATAAATGTAAAAAAATTTTGTAGAATTGCAAATTTAACTATTATACAAAAAATATTATACATAATTAAAGAATCCATGTAAAATGCTTGAAATACATTAAAAAAAAATATTTAAAAAATACGCATTCAATTATATAGTAAGTAAAAATATTTATTATATGTAATATGTAACATAAAATTCAATTATATATTAAAGATAATAAAATTGTCAAACATTAAAAAATTATATTAAAATAAAGTTCGCCAATTGCTGTCAACAAAATTGACTATAAATTTCATATTACCTTTTTTATTTGCTGATTTTACTAATTAATTTTATTGAGAAATAATTTCTTTTTTAATTTATTATTTTTTTATGTTAAAATTTTGCGAGTTACAATATTAAAGTATATTGTCACATTGTAAACACAATCAACACATTGTAATTACAATAATTATAATGTAATTGCCCTCAGGGCAACAGGAACTTCACGTCAATCAAAATGCACACAAAAACCTTAATTGGATGACAGTACAAAAGGGCAGGAGGAATGCCCATATGACAATTGTTTCAAATTAAAAAAATAAACGAAAAAAATAATTATTTGCAAATAAAAAATTTTATTTTAAATACTAATGTTTGCTTTAGACAAATTCAGTATATTCGCGGATTGTATTCCAGATTATTTTATAAAAAAGTTATTAACAAATATTTATTTAGTGCTTCTCAAAAAGTTTAGGAAATGAATTAAAATATTAAGGATATTAAATAAATTTATAAAACGGATTATAATTCAACAAATTTAGTTTATTTCAACTTTTTTTGTTAATTAAAAATTATTTAAAAATTTTAATAGTTATCAAAATTAGCTTCTTACAGTACAGTACAGTGTACTACATTGTAATACATATACAGTACAGTACAGTACAGTACAATACACTGTACTGTACTGTGATGGAAAATTAAATATTTATTGAAATGAAAAAATAAAAGAAAATTAATAAAATTAAATTACCTTGATACATAATTAAACAGTTACAGTTACCTGAAAGCTGTATTTGTAATGCTTTTTTTTGTTGCTTGAATTAACCAAATAATTTTTACATTTATTTTTTGTATTCTCTTGCACACAGATATCGGCATGGAAAGGATCTCAGGTAAGTGCCAAACGGATATATAAAAGTAATTAAAAATTCAAAAATAATTAATGCATTTAAAAGCTTAAATGCAGCAAAATTAATTTTGATAACATTTTAATCTTCATGAATTTTTTATTAAAATTTTAAGTAAAAATTAAATTACAATAACACAAATTATAGGTTTTTATTTCCATATTTAAATTGCAAATATAAAATATAATGATATACAAAATATAATGACTGCGTTAAAATGTTATGTGAGCTAATTTAAAAATTATGTAAATAATTGGATTTAAAATTTCTTCTTCTATTTTAAAGTAGATTTTTTGTCAAAGGACATAAGAGCTTTAATTAGAAGTGGAAATAGGTATTAAAATATATTTATGTTTTAATTCGAAAAAAAAGCTGTCTTATTGTCATATTAGTAAAAGCATACATAAGCTCATATTTTTAATCTCTATAAAAAAATAAACCTTACTTGATTATGGCTTAAGCATATAGTGGATCTGGTCCGGAAAAGTTTTCGAATATAATCATAGTTCCTTCTTCGTGTTTAAAAAGCTATAGATATTGCTTAAAGAATTTATGTGTCTAAGAAGCTATGCTTCATAAAAATTAATATCATGATATTGCCGGTTTATTCAGGCCCCAATATCAAAGATAAGAGAAAACATCAATGACCTCTAGTCGAATAATTCGCACATATGCATTAAAGCAGCGTTTGTGAGTTAGTCATGCTATTATATATAATAGCTTGGAATTTTGCGCTCCATACACTCCACAAAACATCTATCACCTCTAGTCGAATATTTTCCATATTTTAGTAAGGATTGTCTTTATCCATGTTGCTTAAGGCCTACAACGATTTCGTACACCTTGTCGGATGCAAGTCAGCGCTGCATAAGGGAGATTATTATAGATATTGTATAAGGTATAAATTCTATAATACTGTTTTTTGTTTCAGTATTATAGAATTAGTACTGAATTATATATATTACTGAATTGTTATTTTATTATAGAAATATTGTATTAACATTACTTCAGTGGAAATGTTCATTGGTTTTTCCCTACAGTAGTTCCGTACATTGTCCTAGCCACCAAATTTTTAAAATATTTCACATATATTTGATAATTAATCATTGTCATCTTGTCTTTACTGTTTTTCCTGTAAGTAGTCCCGTTCCAAAGGGAACAGAAGCACTTATTGCGCCATATATTTCATAACTTTTGAAGTACAACATTAAATTATAGTACCCTGATGATGACTATAGATTATAGTCGAAATATTGGTAAAAATAAAATCTTTAAAAACAAATAAATATTTTTTAAAAGATCATTATTTAGCTGTTGACCAATAAGCCCGTATTAAAAAGAACAAAAAAAACATTAAATTATTGTAAAAGATTATTAAACATTCGTAAAGTTACAATAATAATTTGATAGATTTTAAATAAAAACTTAATAAGAAAATAACATTTTTTTTTATATCTCATTCTATTTCATTATTTTTTTAGAGTTCTCTCTCTAAAGCCTTCCGTTTTAACACAAAATCACGGACAGGTAGTTCACTTGGCGATCGCAACTCCTTCGGCAACTCCACCTCCCCAACACCATCGTATAGCAGTTCAGAAGGTGGTGGAGGAATTTACGCCACTATAGGACCAACACATTTTCCAGCACCCACAACAGCTCCACCACCGCCACCAATCTCAAATTATGGTCCACCAGGTCATAGAGTAAGTGCGCCGCCAGTACAGTGCAGTACAATGGATTCAATGGCAGATTCCAATTTCCTCTATGAACAACATCGTCGCGTTAAGAGCATAAGTGATATAGGTGTTACAGCGTCAGCAGTGAATAGCAGCGGTAGTCTGGGTGGTGGCGCATCTGGTTCTTCGGGATCTCCCATATGAGAATCAATTATCATGTAAGCTCTAAAGCTTATCATAATCTATGTGCTATATTTATATATATGAAAAAAAGAAAAATATTCCCATATTATTAATATAAATAAATGAATACTCATAACATATTTTTATACAAAATAAAATTTAATATATTATGTATAACAGTGAAAGGAAACGGCTTCATGCTATGCTGCTTGTTACTTGGCTACGCATTCTGTTTTCTTGGCATTAAAACGTTCAATAAATTCATTTGCAAGTATGCAATTAAGCTTACAATATGCATTTCATGAGTGAATTTGTATCTTAAAATGATGAATTCATACATACCTATAGTAGTCGTTCACCATGCATAATTAAATATTTTAAGTATGTACACAAATATTTGCAATGCAATAAATGGAACTCATGTGGAGCATGCATATGACGTAGGAAGAACCAAATGGTATTTATGAAATTCATATTAATGTACGTAAACAATGTATTTGAACATGAGATAAATATCGTATATATGTTATGATACAAAAGAAATACCTCAAATAATTGATTTTTAACAACAAATTACAATTTATTAGTGACAAAATGCATTTCTGAGTCCTTCACCGTATCAAATCGTATTATAATGTTCATTTCTACGATATCCTATATCACAAGTCATATGTTAAATAGTTAAGTGCAATGTTATGTTTAAGTTCAACATTAATTTGGTTATAGTAAGTTCAGTATATTACATATTTACTAACATTATCTCATTACTTTAGTTATATGTATATGTTTATGCTAATGCTAACAAATATTGATATATAGAACAACGTTTTCATTAAATATAATCAATAAGTATCACATCTGTAGATAAGATGTCGTATAGATATAATGCTATTATGGAAGACTAACAAGTAAGCACGTACTCAGGTGTAGATTTGCTCCATTGATCCTTCAGAATTCTTAACTTTCAGTTCATTAGTATTTATTAGTATTGGAGAAGTCAGGGGCCGCATCTGCACCACAGACTCTTGTGACTATGCTGTTGCTTATAAGTTAGTTTAGCTTAATTTGGCTGGGTATTAGCTATAGAAATATTGCTCTATCTGGCACTACCAGATAGAGTTGAACCTCTAGGCATTACTTAATAACGTTAAACATCTATGTAAATTTTATATTCAGCATTTTAACGTATTTACAGAATATTTGAACCTTCCAAATATATTTTAATGCTGTTTTAAAGCGTGTTTTTTTTAATGGGACCCTTGTGGGATTTGAGCCCAGACATCTCATAGTTTTAGTACTCACACAATGTACTATTAAAGCGATTTAAGTTCACAATTGTGAATAGTCACATAGCTAAAGTAGGCTTTTAATTATCTGAAAGTTGATATTTATTGAAGTTATTCTTTTTAGTTAAGCGTTACTTTCAATACACTACTCTCATATACCTCAATTTGCATTTATAAGTCATTTAAGTAACTTCTAAGTAAATGACTGAAATCATAAATATTTTTCAATATATACAGTAAAGTGCTTCTCAATAATGTTAGAACATAGTATTGTTTTGTGATCTAAAAAACTTTATTATGTGATTATGAATTAAACAAATAAATATTTCCATATAAAAGCAATAAAAATCAGTTTTATCTGCACAACCTGCCTAACATTATGAGTAGTCTATATAGTGAAAGCACTCTTAAGTGAACGTCAATGGGACCAGCATTTCTCTTCGGTTCAGAGAATTGTGGTTTTAAAAAACCGATTTTATAAGAAGTCTGGAATTTGGATACTATGAATATTGCATGGTTAAAAGAGATGCCTGTACTTATAAACGCATCCATTGAACAAAGCTCTCACTGTATATTATTTAAGGTTAAAATGTATTTACTATATTTTATTTATATATATTTATAAATAATATTCTATATGTTTTGCAAGTAATGAGTAAATTTGCATTTAAATACACATTAATTATGGAAGAGATGATCAAACTACAATATAGAAAATTTAAACAAACATTAAGTATGTATTTTTATATTACCCACCTTGGATATTAAAATTGCAATCAAACTAAATTAAATTATTTAATAATAACTTTATTTATTCCTGTAAATATTTATAACTTTAAGTCAAACATATTTACTAAACAAATAAATGCAAAAATATTTAAAAATATGTTAAAATTATTGAATTAAAAACTCTATTTATAAATATGAAGTGCATATGTTAGTGATTATGAATATCTACATAAATGATATAATTAAACAATTAATATTCCAAATCTTTTGCAATTATAATGTGTATTGTAAATATAATTTATATTAAATTAAAATAAAAAACTTAAATGAACAACAAATCCAGAACTCCCGAAATGAAAGGCTAATTAGTGTAATTGTGTGCATAGATTAGTTGAAATTATTTAATAATAAAACCAAAAGAAATAAAAAACAACAAACTAAAAATATTTTAAATATAAAAAATAAATATAAAAAATTATTCATTTTATTTCTGTAGTTAAAATAATTGTTTAAAAATTCACTTAGTTAAGTTAAATTGTATTTACAAATAAATTATAATTTATTTATTTATAAAATAAACTCTACGACTGTTTATGTAAAAAATGTATTAATTTTTTAATATTATTTTTTTTTCTATTATCAAAAACATTCACATATTTGTCAATAACAGTCCTTGTGCTAATATTAAATTAATTATATTAAATATACACTTTGATAAAAATATGACACATTTAAAGAAAATGCAATAAAATATATTATACTAAATAAAAATTATATATTATTAAGATTTAATTTATTGTATAAAGTATATAAAGTAGGCAAATGTGAAGGTAAGTTATAAGTTTAATATATAGAAATATTACATACATTTAAAAATCTATAATTATAACTTAATCATATAATCTAATTATAATATAATCATATTAATATAAATAATATTTTGATTAGATTAGATTTTAAAAGGATTGGGAGCTTGTCACCACGTCACTGCATCCTTTAAGGACTATTGTGACATACCCATTTTAGTTCCATAGACAAGTAGCAGTTAAAAATGTCATTATGTCCTTCGGAAAGGTCTTACCTAATTCCGTTATAAGTACATAGGCATATGATAAGTACCAAAATCTAACACAGAATATGTTCTGCTGTTTCCTCTTCTTCGCAACAAAGTCTGCAGCTATCTTCCCTTTTAATTCTTAGGTTTAATAAATGTTTTTTTACTCCGCAATGAGAAACCCTGTGACAACTCATATGCCACATCTGTTCAGCGTTAGTAGCTTCCTAGTTCTGGCTTTAGATCGATTCGACATGGATTCTTTAGCTTGTCTGTATTATCCCAATCAGTCTGAGCTGCTCTTTCTAGCAACTCATTAATTTTATGTTTGAAAAAGCTCCATGAAGGACCGTAGAATGGTCGTGACCCAATATAATATGAGGCCGCCTCTTTTCTGGCTAATTTATTGGCTTTCTTGTTTCTCTTAAATCCGCTGTGCCTTCTCATACTAGTTTTGAGGTCACTAAAGGTGAGCGTAGTACTAGGAGTGCTGATTTGCTGTCAGAGAAAATATATATGCTTTTCCTTGTGACAGGTTACTCTTTATATTCGGTTATACATAGTTCAATTGCGTGTACTTCGACTTGAAAAACTGTGTTTGCTTAACTCATACTCGCAAATACTTTCTCTTTTGGTTAAACCCCATATACACCATTGCCCAATTTTTCCTTATTCCTTCGATGTTCAGCTACATCAATATCAAAAATAAAAACTGATAGCTTCAAATTATATTTAATATAGCTAGAAAGAGAAAGAGAGAGAGAGACACAGAAAAGTTTCCAAAGTTTCTTTGATATACGATTTCTTGCATTTTCTACAATCGTCACTACTGACGACAGCAGACAACAGCTTATATTACAACCAGTTAAGTTCGGTTAAAATACATTCTGTAGTTCTTTCAATCAAACTATAACACAGATATGGTTTATGTTTCATCTTCATAAACTCTATAAATTCTAAAACTCTATCAAGATTAAAAACTCCGGATGTATATTATATGTTTTTTATCTATACAATTTTTACATACGCGAGGTATGGAGATATGTATGAGGTATGTACTATATGACATGGACTATTAAAATAAATTTAAGTAACCAGGTATTGGCATATGAAAAAAGTAATTCGCAAGTTATATGGTCAGTGTTACTGAACGATTGAAGTGCGATACCACCACGAACTTGATAATATGTACAATAAAGGACCAGAATGTGATGATAGTTATATAGTATATTATATAATAAATATTGAATATTTAGATTTAATATATTAAATCTCATCTATTGAGAAGTTGAAGCAAACGATTGTTAAAACAAGCCCTGACATGACCATCGAGTTGTGAGACAGGTAGAGACAGGTCGATGAAATGATCTGTCGATAACGTAGTAGGTGTCTTTAATCAAACGTGTAAGTATGATCGAAGAGCTGTCGTTTCAGAAAGAAGTTCATATAAGTTATAAAATAGTTGTAATATTATTTTGTTGCTTTCATTCCATTTTTTATTGATTCTAAATATTATTATTTCACTACAGCATATTTTAGTTGACTATTTTTAAAGAATATTTATTATTCTAAATATTTTTGCTATAATAATAAAATTTCTACAAATTGTAATTTTTCTTGTCCAAAACATTTTACAACGATTTGACGATTATTTTTTTGCAATGATGGGGTGCAATTCAACTTTTGTTGCTGCTGCTGCTGTTGTTGTTGCTGTGCTTGGTGCCCTTCACCTCCTCTACTCCTGGTTTGCTAGCGACGTCTTTCGTCGAACCCAGCATTATTATTTTCAGTATTTACAGTGGGACGTTTGGTTGTAGCTGGTCGTCCCCGTGGATCAGGATTTGGTTCAGCAGCTGTGAATACTGCCATGTTTCCAATTAATGCCAAGAGTCCAAATAATAAGAAGGCACTGAACCACTTCATCGTTGTGAAAGCTGTTGTGGGTAGGAAACTTTTTACTTCGAATGTTTAGTTTGCACTGTGAATTTTAACGAATGATGAACCGACTTTTATACGATTTCTGCTGCATTCGAGCTATGATGTTTTAATAATTGTAGATATAAATTTCTAGAAGATAGCTATCTTTAAGATAAATTTCATATAAATCTTCAACTTAAGTATTGTCAATCTGAAATAGTCTGAAAAAAATCGGAAAATATGTCAACAATATTTATTTATCAAAATCAATCAGTTTAAATTAATGATTTGAGATTTCATAGATTTTTTTAATTGTATAATTAAATATCTGATAACAAAGCGATGGGTGGGTCAACGTTTAGGTAATTAGTTTGTTTTGCAAGTAATTAACATGAATTTGATTAACATCGCATTTCCCAGAGAAGCAAATAATGCTCCGTTCTATAGCAATTTTTAAATTATACAAAACTGAACGCATCCAACCGAACGAACTCACCGATTGTTTTAATACCATTATTGTTAATTAATTAATTTGCAATATTAACATAACTGAGTAAAATGCAGTTCTATATTCAAGTGCAAAACCTTTTAATTCGACTACTCGATACACTTTACTCTTTCATGCTCCTCACCACGGAGCTTAAAACATATTTAGTTTTATTGGAATGAAAGTGATATGTTAAAAAAAGTCATGCGGACAAGAATAAAAAAATTTTAAAGTAGGTCGGGGTGCATTCAGAGCCTATAATTTAATAATAATAATAGTCATATAACAATATATTTTCACAACTTCATATATTTTTTGCTGTGCCCGTTTAGAGAATATGGAATAGAGTTGAATTCACTGAAGTGACAGAAGTCTGTAAGTGATAGATATTACTTTCATAATGATACTTCAGTAAAGAGTGTCCTGTCAAAAAACATATAAGTATCTAAACATTCTCTATTGAGTTGAGAAATTTTTTCAGATTTTAATTTATCAGAGTTCATAAAATAGAATTCTATTATTACAATCCTTAATTTGATGACTCATTCATAGTATGTGTTAAAGTAACTTTGTAGATTGAAGATGATAGTACTTACACATTATAATTAAAACTATATTAAAAATCAATGAATACATCAAATGCTCAAATTTACCTGTTTAATAAATTGTAAGCAACTAAATATTCTCTATTTAATTAAAAAAGCCATTCAGATTGGAGTACTAATGTGTTAACAATAGAATCTACATTATATTATAGTATGCAATACTTATGTGACTAGCATTACTCAGAGTACTATCAACTGTTTTATACTGATTTCGGGAACTCTGGTAAGTTTTGGCATTATCATAACAACGAGTAATAAAATATGCTGTGTTGTTATCGCTATCTAAGTGATCTATTGATACCATTAGTATTTAGTCTACACGCACAATAACTCATAAGATAGTGACCTCCTACACAATAATCACCATTGGAATAATTCTTTCTATTGTGAAACTCATTTACAATAATGAATAACAATAATTAATTTTTTTTTTAATTATTATTAAATTATTTTTTTTATAAAACTTTTCTTTATTCGATATCCATCCTTCCCATTCTTCTTAATAATTACACTCCGGTGGCGAATCTTCAGGACACGTATGTTGTTCATTGGGTTTTATAGGCCGGAAACCTATTGGAATCGATGGAAAAAATTCTTTTGCAGTTGCATTTAAATTAGAAGTTTTGTAGGTGGGTGAATATTGTGCATTAGAAGCGCGTAGATAATATGGAACAGAATTATTTTCACCATCAGCAGCGGATGCTTTTTGAATTTTCTCATTAAAAGACTTTTGGAAATAATCAAAATTTATATTACTATGTCCTAGAACATTAATTGGTGAATTGCATTTCCCATAATTTTCTTCGGAATAATTTACGGGAGTGGACATGCTTGAAACTCGAGGTGGGTTAATATTTTCGTTTACTTTAGGTTTATTTTTGAAATAATTTACACCATCATTCAAGAAATATTGAGTTGCCTTTCGGTATTCTGTACTGCCTTGCGGAGATTGCTCAAATTTACTGTGTAAAGAAGGCTGACTTTCTTTAGAGGTAGATCCAACTTTATTTTCATCTTTTTTGAGCTGACTATATTCAGGGACAGTATCAACCGCAATTTCTTGATTAACTACAATAAAAAATTTTTTATTATTTTTTGATATTAAGTTTATATTTGATATTTATAAATTGTACGCATTCTTATTAGATATATTAAATTTAATATAAAGTTTGGATATTAAATATTTAAATAAATTGTGTACGCACATTCTTATTAGATATATTAAATTTAATATAAAGTTCTAATTTATTTAACATTATTAATATTTATTTCAGGATCATAAAATAAATTTAAAATATTTGTTTGTCTTCAACTATATCTTATGCATTTTTTAGTTATAGTGAAAAAGCCAGAATCATAAAATCATCCTTCAAAGTAATTTAGCGTCAGTTCACCAAAAATATTTCAATAAATGTTTATATATATAAACCATGTTGATAATATAATAAACTGCATATACTGTTAAAAATGATTCGGATGAGAAGTTAAAGAATCGAAGATTATTATAAGTTAAAGTTTGATTATAGTAAGAGTATACACACAGTTTATTTATTAAAATATATGACATATCACTTTAGTTCCTTTCTGTATATATATCGTATACAAACTTACTCATTTGTACTTGCATATAGTAAAATAAGTAATTGTTTAAGTGCTAACTAACAACACTAAAAAAAGAATAAAAGTTCTAGCTAAAACAATAAAAATCGACAAAAATAGTACTAAAAATCTTTGTAGACATGATATTTTTAGTAAAAATGTTATTATGTGTACATTGTTTTTTTGTTTTAACTTAAAGCCCGGTATTTCGGTTAGTTAATCCAAATGAACTCCTCGTACAATAACTTTTTGTTTCTCTCCAAGCAAACTTTCAAACTTCTCAAATTTTTTACTTAATAATCATTATTTTATATACCGATATACTGATATTGATATGTACTTGTATTAAGTTTTCAGGAACAAATAGTTTAACTTACATATTTTTGACCAACCAATAGGGTACTTAAAATCAAGCTTTTGCTCAGTAGTTTCAGTACCATTGGGGTTAATTGAGATAGGTTTTTGAGCTGAAATAAATTTATGCGTAATATTAACATTACAAATTATAGTTAAAAATCAAGCTCATTTTTATTCTTACAGTTGGATTCATCCAATACTTCATCATAATTATCCATATTTAGATATTCAAAATTTGTTCTTGTACGTCCTTGTAAATCGAATTAAAAATAGGAGGAATAACAAAAATATCTTTGATTGCAAAAAACTAAATACTGAGAGCTATATCTCGAAATGGTTATAGTACAATATATTTTACATTCAAAAATTTTTGTCACTAGGAAATTTAGTACGACGTTGGTATTACTCTATCTGCTTTGGATAGATTTTGTAACTGTTATACAAACTGTACTACGAATATGATTGATTTAAGTAGAACTTTGAAATAGTTTTTTACTAAATATTTTTCAATTAAAAGAAATAAATTAAAATAAAGATATATTACAAATAAAATCATAAAAAATTTAAACATTTTAAAATGCTCAATATTTTCTTAAATTAATTGGCTTACTTAGTGAATTAAATTTTGTATCAATTTTGTATTAATCGCAATGCATATAATGAAAAATAGTCATAAGTTTATAAGTTTTATGAGCCTATATTTGATTCATTTTAAAATATAAAATTTGCTGAAATGGTTTTTAATAAGAACCCTTATACCAAAAATGTTTTAAGATTGTTTGTTATGTACATATTCTGAATATGTGATTGACCGTAAATATGAATATAAGCGAATTTTAAGAGTTTTTGTATTAAATTTCAGTTCAATTTATTATTTTTATTACAAAAGATTTAAAGCGTATAGTGAAAAACTGTTTTTAAACAGTCTTTGTTACGGTTTTCAATAAACCTTTTTTTTATAAACTCATGTTTACATAATGTAATGAATTAAATTTAACAAATGGATTCATTATTTCACTATTTTAATAATAATAATAATATATATAAATCATGATTCATTAAACAACGTAGTTTTATATCTATTGTTTTTATTTTTTCACATACTAAGGTCAGATTTTTCAGTAGTAACCTGTCTTAAAGTCTGACTTGAATCAGTTGAGACTAAATTAATATTAATTAGCAAAACAAGTATTTGAAACGATTAATTGAATCAAAATACGTAGTGCAGAAATAATATATATTCTCTATTATGTTAAATTTTCCATAGGATACTGAAGTTTTAAATCACGTCTTTCAGTTTCGAGAAGACCGATGAAGCAGAAAGCATCCACAGCAAAAAAAAATCACTCTCAGCCTATCAAGTTAAAGGGATTTGTTATTAATAATTGCATATTAGTAAAATAAATAAAATCAATGTAAATTAGAGTACAATAATTAAAAGAACTCTAGATTATTTTAACTATGTATACTTAATTTATAAGATATACAATTCTTTTAACAAAGTTCCAATAGTAAAAAATAAGTTCAAACGATTACAATTAATGCTTATTTATTACTGGTTATAATAAACATATAGTATTATTATTACAATATATGAAATGATTTTAAATAAACTTTTCCTTGGCTCCATTTAGTAGTGCAAATGATGGTGTTGGTAGTGTCCTGACAAATGATGATGATGACGCGGTATAATTATTGTAGATACAGGTTTTGCTACCAGTACGGGTTTGGCTACAAGTATAGATTTTGCTACCAGTATGGGTTTTGCAACCAGTATAGGTTTAGTTACCAGTATGGGCTTAGAAACCACTACACGCTTTTCGACTAAAATTGGTTTCGCAACAACAGCCGGCTTTGTCACAACCACAACAGGATGATACTGATGTAAATGTCCAGGTTTTGCTTCACTACAAGATATAACTCCGATGATGATGACAAAAATTAGTAAGAACTTCATGGCGTTTAACTTCGTTTGTTGTCAGAGGTAAGCTTCAAACTGAAGTCATCAAAATTAAAATTCACTTTTATATTGTAAATATTCTATAATTATTTATTGTAAACTTGAAGCTCTTATACAGTTCAAGGTAATAAATATTAATTATTTCTGTATAGAAAATTCTTTAGCGGTATTTTTGTGGTCATTTCTTACAGTTAAAAAAAAAAAAAAAAAAACATAAAATTATAGATATTGCGGTTTTACTTAACTTCATTCAATAGTTTTTTTAAGTTACTTAAAATATTAGTAAAATATTACTAAATGACAAATTTTATTTAAAATTAATGTGGATATTTTATTTTAACGTAAAAAATTTCCAACAATTAAGAAATATACTTTAGTTGAATAGATTATATATTTCATTTGTTAAATTAAATACAATATTCTGTTAAGTTGGAACCCATAAAGATCTTATGTCCAATCATTATAGATTCGCTATTAATAATAAACTTATATAATAAAATTGACTTTAAAGTGAATAAAATAAAATTTACCAAGTACTAATAATTGTATTTTATGAAAGTATAAGTATTAATAATTATTTATTACTATTAATATAGATTAGATCATTAAATATAACAGTTTTGAATTGTCTACTTGTTTTTTATAATATAGAATAATGATACTCTACTTAATTAGCAGATAATTTAAGAATTCTTTCAATAAGAATAAATAATTTTTAGTTATAAAATATTAAAATTCAATTAAAAAATTAATTTTTTTTTTAAACAAAAAAGCTTTCTACATAAGTTTATATATACAAATTTTATATGTAAAAATGTACAGAAATATTTACACATTTCTTCTTAAATCTTAATAGTTATTTTACAGAAAATACTTAATAAACAAAATTAAAAGAAATAAAATAAATTCAAAAAGATAAAGAGAAATTAAACTTAACTTTAACTTAACTTAATAAAGGACCCTAAGCAGATTTAACCAAATCTCCATCAACATTTACAGCTTCACATCTTTTCAAGTATTTATTAAATTTCTTTTCAAATTTCTGGACTTCCTTTTCAGTCATTTCAGTTACTTCTAATTTGCTCATATATTTTTTAAGAATTTTTTTCTTTAGTTTTTCCAATAAAATTCCTTCGGCCTGTTTATTAACAATTTTTGACAACACGTCTTGCCATCTGAATTCTTCAGAAGCTTCAATTGCACTTGGAGCTACCTCAGCTATTTCAGAAGTAGGCTCAGTTAATTCAATAGAATTTTCAGATTTTTGTTTCTTACTTTTCTTCTTATTGGATTGAGTTTGTTCAACTTCATTTTGGATAGCACCTGCAGTGGTTCCTTCAACTTCAGCTTCAGCTTCAGTTTTCTGTTTTTTATTTTTTTTCTTTTTTGGTTCGCTATTACCATTTTGTTGAGAGTTCAGATCAGTTGCTGCCACTGTCGCAGGCTCATTTACCTCCTGTTTTTTGCTCTTCTTCTTCGGTGGTTCATTAAGACCATTTCCATTTGGTACTTCACGTTTTACTCCATTATGTGGCAATGTTGCTGACTTCAGTTCTTCTTCTTCAGTTTTGACCTTAGTTTCTGGAGCTTTACTGGCTTTCATTTTCTCTAATTCTTTTTCTAACACATTCCATACTTCAACTGCCTGTCGTTGATGCACTCGTACACACTTGGTTATAAAATTCTGAAACTTCTGTTTCTTGCGTGGCACATTATCGAATGATTGTAATTTTTCAAATACACCACGTGCAGGCGCACTTATTTTGTACTCTTGATTGTTTAATATTGAACGCACTATTTCCATCCAACTTTCTTGTTTTTTATTATTTTTAAATTCTTTTGGTACATAATCTTTGCCAGAATACTTTTCCGCTTCAGTGATACATTGGGTGTGCGCCACATATTCTTCGTTAAAAAAATCCTTTTGACAATCCATACATGTAACATTTTTCACCATGCCACGGCATTTTGTATTAAAATGTTTATCTACGACGGGTTTTTTGACTGAATCCCCACAATGATTACAAGTAAAAACAACCATTTTTATTTTATTAAGTTTAATATACTTGGAATTAAAATATTCTATTTACAACTTGACCGGCCAGTTGTATTTGACAATGAAAATGAACACAACACGTGCGAATGTGAGAGAATGAGAGCAAAAGTTAAAATGACAGCAATGTCAATTGCCGCGTTGCCAATGCGTAATTTTTATTAAATGAATAAATGATTTAAGAAGTATGAAGTTAATAATGTATTGTATGATGTGTGTAATTAAAACAAACAAAGCAGAAATTTTACATACCTTAAAACATTTTTAATTATATATTTCTATATTTATATATATTCTTATTGATGGTTTTACATATGAAACTATATGAAGAAATAACTGAAAATATGTGGGGCAACACATTTAAATACATCAAGTTAATTTGTGAGATTAAGACAACGAGATTAAGTTAATCTACATTTCTAAACTACACCGTTTACATTAAACAGTGGAGATTTTGGACGTTTCACAAATTTCTGTTCTTTATTTAGAACATAATTATAATTTTGTAATATAATATAGTATAAAATTGTAATATAAATTTAATAAATAGTTTTATAACGATAATTTAACAAATTTTAATTATTATTATGTACAAAACTATTATTAAATAAATTTAATAAATACTTCACTCACTTCGGCATTTTCAAATTTTCAATATTGTTTTAAATAGATTTTAATATTTCTTTTCCAATTCTTCTAAGAACGTAAAAAAATCAACGATATTAAGACATTTGCAGAGTTGCACAGAAAATTAATCATTATTTAGATTAACTTTTATATGGGAAAGTTGTGGTTAAACAACTAGATTAATATTTAAATCTTGATTATTGCTTTAGTCTACTTTTAATCTCACAATGTGAACGCAGGAAATTAAAGGAATTAATGTAATGCAAATTTCAGTGTTTAGATCTATATGTATATATATAATAAAAATGGTTTAAAGCTTGACATTTTTAGATGGCATTTAAGTATTTACTTAAGGAAGAGATTTAAGGAAATAAGTACGCGTTTTGCTTTTATATCCTTTTATAAATTTTGTAAAGTAAATTTGACGAAATCATGCGTGATTATAAAGATAAACCCGAAAATGTGTTAAGTAATGTAATGTAATGAATTTCAATATCAACTTACGGTGTAGCCGATATATAAAAATCACATTTAAGATATATTCATATGTAAACCTACATAAATTCACATAAACATACCATTTAATTAAAAATAGCAATATTTTCAGCGTAATTATTAATATATTTATTTCATATATACCATAATTAAAACTCAAATAAAAATTTTAATATAAAAATTATTACTATTTTATTATTATATAAACATATCTTTTAAATTTTATTTGTGGAAATATATGGAAAAATTTAAAGAAATATATATAAAAATATAATTCTTCATTAATATAAAAATGTATTTTTTTATTAATATAAAAATATAATTAATATATAAATATAAATATAATTATTAATATAAAAATATAATTTTTTATTAATATAAATATATAATTTTTTTTTAATATAAAAATTAATTTGTGTTTATTTATAAATATATTTCTGATCTATTACAATTGTAGAGCTTTTTAATTCTCAAAGCTCACGATATACTAAAAGAATGTTATAGAATATAGACAAAAATGTCAATTCTATTTCGTCAGCTCTTGACTTTAGTTCGCGCCAATTATTTCGTTAGCGCCAATGAAAATTTTTCAAAGACGTAGTTTTGTGCAATTTAAAAAAGGTGATTTATTTTGTAAAATAAATAAATATTTTAGTATATTTCCATGGATTTTTCAAAAAGTTTTCCCAAATCTTCTCTATTTTGTGACCGCGGCGCCAGTTTTGTAATTCGTTCCTGTGGCAAAGTACCGTCAACTAAACTTGGTATATCGTCAGTTGTGAAACCCAGTGATTTTAATCCATTTTCTATTTTGGCATCTTGCATATATTTTCGAACGGTATCAGCTAAAATAGATCCTGCATCACTTTTTCGAGCGTTTCTTATGTCAGTACCTAATATTTCAGCTGCTTCCAAGTGTCTTTCTGGACATGCTTTTGCAGTAAATTCAAAAACTGCAGGTGCACTAATCACAACTGAAAGTCCATGTGGTATGATAGCATGTGATGTAGCATAACCAACTGGTTGAAATTGGCGTACCAAGCCAGAAATTGGATACGATAAACCATGACAAAGATGTACACCAGCATTACCAAATCCCACACCCGCCATAGTTGACGCTAAATGCATCTTTAAACGAGCTTCTATGTTGTCTGGTTGATAAATAGCATTTATGAAATTTTTTTTAATTATATCAAGTGCAAAACGGGCCCAAACATCAGAGACAGGATTCCGTCCTTGGTAGGGTGGTCTTAAACTGGGATCAGTGGGTGCTAAACTACGCTCACGATAATCAATAGCAGTGAAACTTTCAAGTGCATGACAAAACACATCAAAACCAGTATAAGCTGTTACACGTTCTGGTTGAGTTAATGTATGCAGTGGATCAATTATGCCTGAAAATATATGCAATTTTAATAGATATAGGTTATCGAGTAATTATCTTGCATTACCCAAAAATGGTTTAAGGTATTTGCTTGAAATACCCGTTTTGGCATGTAATTTCTTGTAGTCAAAAATAGCAACGCCGGTGGTTTCCGAACCTGTGCCAGATGTTGTTGGAAGTGCAAACATTGGTTTTAGTTTAACGGTTATCTAAAAAATGAATTACATATGTGACAATGAAAAATAAAATTTTAAATGACTAAACACCTCTTTGCCTTTTCCAATTGGTTTATTGACATAATCCAAAAATTCAGCTTCCTTATCGCAGGCAAATAAATTTGCTACTTTGCATGTATCTATGACAGAACCACCACCAATGGCCACAAACGCATCGAACTGCTTTGATCGTGCATAGTTCACAGCATGCCAGAAACTTGTATCTGTCGGCTCTACGCGTGTTTCATCATAAACATCGTAGCTTATGCCATTACGATTAAGGGAATCAAATGCCGTACGTACACTCGTTAAGCTTGCCACATTCTTATCCGTTACCACGCAAACTGATTTCGCACCCAGGTTACGTATATCAGCACCCAGCTCAGCTGAAACTCCGGGACCAAAACGCACAGTTGAAGCGGACATCTGTCAAGGTTAAATTAATTAGAAAATATCTTATGGGGGTATTGAGAACATCTTCTTTCACCTCAAATGCGTATTCCATTTTGCCAGTCTGTCTCGTGGCAGCTGCGGTAGCCGAACCATAATTCTGCGAATGTGCCGGGCATTTGCAACTTTAATTTTAATTAAAACTGTTTATAAATTTAATTGGAACTTTTTATTAAAATTTTTATTTTGCATCTTAAACTTACGAACTTCCAACGATTGTATTTATTAAATTGAGTACATTTTTGCGTGTCATTTTTCTTTCACTGGCCGGTTCCAAATATCAACTTCATACGCTTGATTAGTAAATAATTTGATAAGAATTATGCCAGATATTCCGTCAGCTGCGAGTCTGCACTACTAAAAGGTTGAAAACTCAGCTGCTTAAATAGCCTTTGATCGCAGACAAAATTTGCGCAAACAATTGACTACGTCTCTCTGACCCTACAAGTTTCGAAAGCAGTATTAGTTTATGAGACAATACGCTTAATACAGTCAAACAGTTCTTATATATAATTAAACAATTATGATAAAAACAAATTTTGATAGTTTATTAAATATAATTTACTTTTATTATAGATAAAATGGATACTTCAGATACACCAATTGATCAAATTGCTTGTTTTGACGATTTTAGAGGAGATATTATAGACTTTGAATGTATGTGGGAGGAATGTGAACAAGAAGAACATAAAAAAAACTTTGATATGGAACTATCAAATTCTTTCGATTCAAAATTAAATTTATCTTCTGATGAAAGGTCAATTAGCAACAAAAATAATAAATTTAAAATTAATAATAAAAATAGCTGTGGATTATATTTTAACTGATAGTTTCTGTCGACCAAAATTGATCAACAGAATCACAATCAACTACTATGTGTCTGAGACATATTTATCATATCAACTTATATATAAATCGTATAAATTATCTAATTAATTTATGTGGATCAGATAAATTACTTTGTGTTAATAATTGTATTTTCATATCTAATATGTGAATATGTTCATTGTTATGCATATATTTGTACTATATGTATATATTTATCTATTATGTATTTTAATATCATTTTTTTTAGTTATGACTTTTAAGTTTAATTATTATATATTTTTAATTCTTTACTGTATAACAGTTTTTGTGTATATCATATATAAAAGAATGTTAGTTAAAATTTAATAATATACATATCTTCGTTCTTTTCATTGTTAAAAGTTAGTGTTATAGCACATTCACAGTGTTCACAAATCATTGTTTTTATTAATTGAATATATGTGATATATAATATAAATATAAACGATTTAATATATCAATTAAATATTTAATTTTTTTGTGTGATATATAATTTCAATAAAAGTTCTATCAACAACACAAATGAGTTCATTATAATGTGAACGTTCATACATTAATATAAATGAGCAAGTGCCTAAATGAGACTGTGTGAATGTACTATTATGTTCAAGACAATATTATTTCTTTATAATATTATTGCTATATCATAGTATAGTGATATACTATTTGTGATCATAAATTACCAAAATTGTTTTTAAAATTTATTGCATTAACAAATTCTAGTCATATTGGTTTTATGTTGATAAAAAATTGTTTTTTAAAAATATTAGTTTTATAAAATTAATGTAAAAATTTTTATAATTATGTGCGTAAGTTATTTTAATTTGTAAAACAAAATTATTTAAATATATTTTTAACATAAAATTATGTAACAAATATTATTGCATACATATATTAAAAGGATAATAATAAAAAATTGTTGTTGTTTTGAAAATTAAAAAAAAATTGATTTGAAAACTCTTATGAATTTGAAGCGATATTATAGGGCCTAATATATCAAACTTACGGTTACATTATAAAAGTGATAATAAAATGTTCTATATAGGTATACTTATAATATAATGCATACTTAAATATCGATTAAATATTAATGTGACATTTATTGGAATTTAATGAGAGATTTTGGTGCACAACATTAAACATATAAGTGTACTTTATAAAAAGGTTCCTAAAAGTTTATATATATCTTAGAATATTTGATGATATTAAGTATTTGTCTATGCCTTGCAGTGAGAGTTTATTGTTAAACCTTGTCTTATAAAATAAGCTACAGATCAAACAATTAAATACGAAAATGGAACCAGGATTTGGGATATTTCATTTGCTTATTTAGGAAAGTTACCACGAATAATATTTAATCAAACCTTAATTGAAATTAGAAGACATGTTCTCTCAAAATCCCGCTTTCTAATGAATAAAACTGCATAAACTAATGTGACAGTTGGCTAATCTTTAAGATATTTAAAGAATATATTTTAAAATGGTTTTTATAGTACTTAAAAGCCCATTAATATTTCTGATATCTGATTTGGATTTAACTAAATAATAATTCTAATATATTGAATACATACAGTTATTTACGATTATCTTCAAAAAAAAAATTATATTGTTCTAGAGTTATTCTGGTTGAACTACACCCTTTACATAAAGTGCATCATTGGGTTACTAAGAAAATACAAGTATGGTACATATTTTGTAAGATGTTTGAATATTTTTGTTGTAATCAGATATTCGAAGTGAAGTATGAGAAAACTAATTCATAGACTTTCCTATATCAAGTGCCGTTCCTAAATCAATTGGCATTCTTAGGTGATGGATGTTATCAATTAAATTATTATCTCTTAAAAAATATGTCGAGATCAATTACAATTTCTCGAGTTACAGTCATAAATCCATAACAGATTGTAAAGTTATGCGCTAACTCTCTGTGAATATATTAGTCGTATAGTTGCTTAGTTGACATGCCATTGTCGATTAGGATATCATGTTAACAAACTGAAAACTTCCTTGTAATGGTTTTTTCCATAGTTGTAGAGATATCAATCTGAAAGTTAGTGTATAGAAGCATAATTAGCGGTTGAAATTAAAATTTCTGTTCACTGATTACTAACGTAGCCGTGAGGATTACATAGAAAATGCTTTACACCTGCTTTATCACTATTTAGCGCATTCTTTATATCTTTTTTAAAAGGATCTCAGTCAGTTAGAATATCATTCCTTAAAAAACATCTTAAATTTTGTTAATGTTTATATCTAGTCATAAAACCTTCAAGTTCTGTATGGTAACACAATAGGATTAGATGCTTAGTGGACTGATGTTAAGTTACTGTTAAGGTCTATCCGGTTACCTAAGTAATTACTTATTTCAATCTACTTTCTCAAACTGACATTAAACATAATTCATTAAAATAGAATCATCTATGAAATGATTCAAAGTCTATTCATAGATAATATTTTTTGTTCTAATATTTATTCTTATTGAGTCTTAATTTTTTTAGTTTTTTGAGTTTTTCACATTAGGAAGAAACACTTACTATATGTAGGAAATAAATCAAATCTAGCCATGTTTAATATCTTTGGTTTCAATCTATTGAACGTTTTTCTAATTCCATCCAGGTTACTTGAAATTATATCTCACCCATCTTTTTTCCAACAATAGCTCTTCTTTCCATTTTACATATATATTTGTATGTTTTAATTACTTTAATGTTTCTTGCAGTATAGATCTATAGCCGAATTTAACTGGGTTAACTAGTCAAAATAATCTGAATGGTCAATATGTATTGAACTAATGAAAAACGTTATATTAATTAATATATCAAATATAATATTATATTAATTAAATATAGTATAAGAATATAAAAGATTAAATCTTTACACATATTAGAGCTTTTTAGAAACGAATATGTTTCTGGAACCGATTTTATGATAACTCTTATTAAATTCGACAAATTTTTTGATAATAGTTTTTATAAATGGCGATACTTGACAATTATATTTGTTAAAAATATGTATTTATTTTAAAAAAATTTATGTGTAGTTCATTAGTTATCTGATGTCTCCTGAATTGCGTTATAAACATTTTAATAAGCCAATGCAGTATAACAAGTAGCTAGATGGCGCATATATTTATTGGTTTTCATATAAAAAGTTTGAGGTTCGATATCTCGAAAAGTAATATATGTAGTTTCATATATGACCTAGTGAAAGTAGTTGTTTAAAATATCTGGTTCTACTAAAACCCCGGATGTCAAATTGGCGTGACCGAGGAATCAAAATTGTGACCTGTTTTTATACTGCATTAAATGGTCTTGCTAGTTAATGGTCTAATCAGTTAAATTCACTTTAGCAGTCATAAGTTTCTAATATTGCAATCGAAAGCAGAGGTGATGAAAGGTAGATTTTTAGGGTTTGAAGCATTTTACACTTAATATAATGCAGAATACATTATACTTAATTAAATTAATTAATTAAATTTGTATTAACTTTAAAACAGTTTTCAAAAACCCTACTTAAATAAGTCTCTGGAAGTCTCTGGCGTCAATGACTGGAATACTATATTTAAATATAAATAAATAATTAAAATAATCCTCAAAAATCCTCAAAGAAAACAAGATTTTATTATTTTCGTGGAAGTTAATGATTTTATTACCGAATGAATTGAAATGATTTATTACATAGTAAACATCTGCTCTTAACATTAACTTCCGAATTATTTTATATATTATATTAAGTTTATTAATAATCAAATAAAATTATTAATTTAGGTTCAATAAAATTTTTTCATTAAAATTAAAAAATAATAATTTATAGTTTTTAAAACACAATATTAAAAACACATTAAAATTTTTGGAATTTCAAAGAGTAGATCTGGTAAGATCAAATACTTATGTTATAATAAGGGAGTACATATATGGAGAAAAATGTGCCCATAGAGTTCTGGAGGTGCTTAAAGAGTTGTGAAATAATTAATTGAAAAAATATTGCTTATTTATATATGTATATATATATACTAAATATTTGAAGTAAATTAAAATCACTTTAAGTTTATATGTAGGCATAAACCTTTTGTTACTGACTAAATTTAGTTTAAATTTGATTTTTTTTTTCAATTTAGATTTTATTTTTTGTATATTGATTCCAATGATGGCACAAAATCTTAAATTACTTCGATTATTTATGTTGCCTTTAAAACAATTCTCGATCATTAAATAGTAGAATGAAACAAAAACAAAAACATTTATACTTGATATTTTAGTTAAAATTACTAATATAAATAGTGGAATATATTGTTTTATTTTATATATAATTTCAATTGGCTGCTTAAATACTTTGTTCTGTTAATAAATATAATTTTAGTTATTTTTTCTTTTTTATCAATCTATTGTGCTTTTTAACATTTTTATGTATATATGTATAGTTTGTATATTATTACAAATTAAATTATCATTCAAATTTTTTCTTATTACAAGTTTTTCTAATGATTAGTAAGAAAAACAATCTTATTTAAGTAATCTTTATAACATTTAATTAATCCGCCATTTCCCAGTGCGTTTTAAGCTGCCCCGCCATGAACTTTACCAGTTCAATTAAACTTGATTGATGGGTGCATATCGATGCACTTTAGGTTGCTTCGATTCTTTCATTTTTGGCTTAATCTCTTCGGATAGCTTTTGATATACTATAGAATTGTTCGACGATGCTAATAATGCCATACGATAGCGTTCACCACGTTTATGTAACATCATTACAATCAATTTCACTACAATTAAGAGCACGACAGCAATACACAATACTGTAACAATAACTGGAACAAGGAACCTGTATCCGCCATAATATATGCGTCCACGTTCAATGATAATTTCTTCGTCAACATTATCGTTACTTTGTTCTTCGCCATTTATGGAGAATTTATCTACAAAGATACATAGAATTAAATATAACAAATATATGTATGTGCTTAAAATTTAATTTGTACTCACTAAGTAAGAAAGGATCTTTAGTTTCCTTACTTAAATTAATTTCCTCAACTTTAACACCATGGTCTTTAATTTTAGATAAATCTAATTCATCTTGCTTATTGTCATCAGCATCATAGTCATCCTCATCTTCCTCATCTTCTTCATCTTCCTCTTCATCATTATCTGTATTATCCTCTTCATCTTCATTATCTTCTGCATTATCTTTATCATTTTTATCATCGTCACCATACTCATCATCATTGTCATCTTCTTCAACATAATCATCCCAGCTTTCATCATCCTTTGAAGAATCCTTTAGTATTTTCTGCAATTTATTCAAGTGGCTTCCCTTTACAATACCCAAAAGATTTTTTTCGTCTTCATTTATACTCTTTTCAACCTCCTGTATACGTGTTTCCACTTTGTTGTTATTTGTGGATTTTGCCATGCTTTCGTGATGTTTGCAAACCTCTTGAGCAAGTTGTACCCAGCCTGCGATATTGGGACGGAAATCGTCTAAGTTTGTGGCATCACTCTCAATGTTTGCGAATGTTGGCATTTTGTTTGGTGTAATATAAGTATTAAGCGTTACATAGTTCATGAATTCTTGGAATCCTTCATTACATTTAAGTGGGTTATTTGTAATATCCAAAGTACGTAGATTCTTAAAATGTCGAATATCGAAAGACGAAATCTTTCTAATTTGATTTGCAGATGCGTTGAAGCTGCGTAGAGTTTCGTAGAATTTGTATTTACGACCCACACCGTAACGATTGTCAATCAACAGTGAACTTAACTCACAGTCGCTAACGTCCAATTCGCGTAGTTTTGTCATTGGTAAAAATAGTCGAACCGACAGTTTCCGCATCGGGTTACCGGCTAAATTCAATTTTGTTAAATCATTATTGTCCATAAATAGAAGTTCATCTAATTTAGCAATTAAGTTATTGCTCAAATCCAACTCAATTAATTTGTTAAGACTGGAGAAAGTATCGCGCTCCAAATTGTTTATATTATTCCAGGCAAGTTTTAAAGTTGCTAAATGTGGCATTGTTGAGAACGTTTTATGACCGAGTGAACCAATTGCGCAGTTAGATATATCCAAAAAGTAAACAGTGAAGTAACCGTTATAGCTTTGGAAGCCATCAGTGGGTAACTGACTTAAACGAGGATTATCATTCATGCGTATCACATCTAGTTCAGAGTTTTTGTAGAACAACATGCTAGACACTTGCTCCAATTCATTAATAGACAAATCAATGTGACGCAAATTTTTCAAAGTGAGGAATGAATCAGGTTGTATCTTTGTAACACCATTACCTTTCAGATTCAGGTTTGTAAGACCAGTCATTTTATCGAACATACCATGATGAATAGCGTGTATTAAATTAAAACTAAGATCTAATTGTTGAAGATCACTAGTACCAAATTTCAAGTCATTAGTGATGGAGTTATATTTTAGATTCAGAATAGCCAAAGCAGTACGATTAAACAATAGTGGAGGTAGGGTTTTCAAAGAATTGTATGAAAGATCCAATTCTTCTATTGTTTCGACATTATCAAATACTTTCTCTGGTATTGTTTGTAGATTATTTTGCGACAAATTTATATAAACAATATTAGAAAGTTGTGAAAAAGCGTGTGGGTTAAGTTCCATCAAATTGTTTCCTGACAAATCTAACTCCTCAATGCTCGATGACTACATGTATATTAAAAACTTTGTAGTTAATGGTTAAGAAAAAATTTTAATTTGACTTACTTTTATTAAATAGTGTACACTGGACATAACACCAAGATCATTACCAGAAATTGTCAACATGCGTAGTTTTTTATTTTTAGCAAATGTATCAGGATTGATAAGACTTAAACCGACATTAGTTAGGTTAACTGAATAGAGTTCCTCCAAACCATGGAAAGCCGTTGGATGTAAATATTCGATGGTACAATTTGCTATTTTAATAGTAGAAACGCGTTTCAAACCCATTTGCAGGAAAAACTCTGGGCCCAAAAGTATTGGATATTTTGGACCAATATCTGTTACGACCAAATCAGTGATGTCTGAACCAAATTTCTGGGTACCAGGATCGAATCTAAAATTTGAAATGGGTTTTTATATAAAATAGAATGTTGTTTTAAAATTGAAAAATTTTGATATACCTGCTACAGGTAGCAACTAAGTAACTGTTAATATTACGAGCACAAACGCAATATCTGGGACAAGGCACATTTTCAGAGAAAATAACATCTTCCTCATCAGCAATGTCTTCTTCACCGTCATCACCAACTTCATCACTGTAATCGTCTTCGTCAGTATTGTCGTTATTTTTATTATCTTTTTCGTCTTCATGCTCGATGTTATTGTCGATATCATCATGGGTATTAGTGTTGTTAGATTTGGAAGTAGACTAAAAATTATTACATTAAATATACTTTTAATAATACTAATGGTAACATTTTATACTTCATTGACTTCCTTAATTGGTTTCATTTCAATCGATGCTTCTGTGTCCTTATTAGTTGGTGTTATTTTTTTGGGATTAGATTCTGTACTATCAAAATCGACAACATAATTATAATCCTCATCACCATATTCATAGTTTGCGTCATAATCATCAAGTTGTTCGCTGTCTACCTTTGGTGTTGTTGCATTTTGTTTTAAAAATTTATCAGGCAACATTTTGTTAAGTCTAAAGATAAAGAAATAAATCGGGGTGGTTTAAAGTAAATAGTATATATATATATTTTATTAAACAAAAATTTACCTCAAATCATCCGCTAGAACAGAGCTATGCTTCGAAGCCTCAAGTAAATCTTTCATTATTTCATCACTTACAGGCTTTGTTGTCGAACTTGTTGATGCGGGACCTGAAGTAGTAGAAGTTTTAGCTTTAATTTTTGGTACGTCCTTCAGAATTTCTGAAGATAACTTAATATCTTTGCTATCATGCTTTGAATTTATTATATCAGCTGATCCCTCTTCATCTGAGTCCAATTGGTCACTTCCATAATCGTCATGCGTTTGTGGAATTGGGCGTGGTGTGCTACCAAGGGTAACATGAAAAACCCCTATCGTGAGTAGTAGTAGCAACACCAGTCTAGGCTGGCGACCCATTTTATTTAACTGTCAAGGATTAAAAACAAAATTGAAATTATTTAAAAACATGTTTGTAGTTTTGAAAATATGTATTCGTAAATATTTTATTTAATATTGCAAAATTATATTATATACAGTGTCAACATACCATATAACGAAAGTATAGGCGTGCATTTTAATTACAAAATTTATTACATTATTTATTTACCTTATTTTACTATTAGTATTTGGTGATTATTATATGGTAAATATTCTTATCATTTATTGTACTTAAAGCTAATATGAGTATTTGTTTTCAAACTTTATGTATTTTTCTATGAATTCAGAATGGTATTTATTATAATAATGAACGTGTTTAGAATATTTAAATAGATTACAATTAATTACAAATTAAATAATAAAAAATTTTTTAAATATTTTTGACAATAATATTTTTATGATTTTAAAATTACAAGAGAAAAAAAAATGTAAACATTTTAAATAAAATTATTGTATAAACTATTGTAAATGACGCGATAAATCGTATTATTATTGAAGTAGTTCGTTCATTACGGAAATGTAAGCCGAAGCGCTCTATGAAATACAAATATCTAAACCAATATTTTCGAAACCTTATCTAACTAAAAATATTGTCATACCAAAATCGTACATGCATCCGCACTTACTTCCTGTATTGGTGGGACAAAAGCCGACTTAGCGTTACTCTTTGATACCCACGCTAAAACAAAAGATAAACTGAAACCGCTAAACTACCTCGTCTGACAACTAAACTCATTAGAAACACTCATGTGTTCTGAAAACAATGTTGCTTCACAACTTTTTTATATAATTTAAAATTGCATAAAATTTAAATAAATCATAAATTGTGCTTTAATCTCATCCAAACTGGTTGGCTCAACTTGAATTAATTGTTAAACGCTGTTTCATTATTATATTTATTACATTTTCAAGTAATATAGATGTTAAGTGATACGTAACGTAACGATGAAATGAAAACATATCCAAGACGTATAGCACCATCTATATGTCAATAGCAGAAATTAAATTTCGGGGTCATCTTAATATTTCATCTCTCATAAGTACATAGCCAATATTTCATTTCGATCTGTCAACTCTCTCTTTGTTGAGACCTCATTTATATAAGACGTGTCAAGGTATTTTCAAACAGTCAAAAAAATTGGTGATTGAATTCTTAAAAGCACTAGAAATTCTTAACAAAATGCTATATATAGTATGTTAGGTGTATCTGTTCCTTCAAAAACAATATTTTGTTAGTTGGCAGGTTTCTTTAAAAGTGATAGTAAAATTTTCAAGAACGATTCACGTAAAGAACGTCAGAATATGCAAAGGCAGTGTAAACCCAGCTATTCGACTATAAAGTGAGTTTGTCTTCAGATGATCTATTTTAAAGTAATCAAAATCTATATAACAACTAATTTCAATTTTAATTGCAACCACTAATAACAGGCATGAATAATCATGTTTAATGAGTAGTGTGAGTTCGGCTGTAATATCACTTTCTGCCCACAAATCGGCTAAAAATGTAATTGTAGACCAATAAAACAATTGACACCGCTTATAATTGCAGCAATTGATGATAGATATAATAAAAGTGCAAGGGTTTATTATGATGATCAATGAGTCCGGTGAATCTAGTAGTGTGGATAGAAATGGGCTAAGAAATTGATGGATGTAGTTTTTGGGATGTAAAAGGTATTTTTTAATGTTTTACATTTAATTCAGTAAAACCAGTAATTCTAATTATATTTAAATCCATTGAGTATAGGCAGAGGCTTATCATCATGATAGCTGATGAATCCAGTTTACTTCGAAACCAGTAAAGCAACTACCTTCAAATATAATTGAACCTACTGAGGACAGGCAAGAGTAGTTAGTTATGTGGCTACGAAATTAGGTTGTGTCCAGAAATCGGTCAAGAAGATAAAAGAGTCAGTTTTTTGGGTTGCATAAAAAATTGAGGACAAGCAAGAGTAGTTCGTTATGTGGCTACGAAATTGATTGCGTTCAGAAATCGATCAAGAAGATAAAAGAGTCAGTTTTTTGGGTTGAATAAAAAAATGAGGACAAGCATGAGTAGTTCGTTATACAGCTACGAAATAGGTTGCGTTCAGAAATCGGTCAAAAAGATGAAAAAGTCACGAAAGAGGCTACGAAATAAGATTCAGAAATCGACCAAGAATTATTGCTAATCTACCAAAACCAAATCAAAAATCCATTGATGACAGGCACGCTGCAAGCTTAAATATAACTTAGGGATAATGCTAAGTATTAAAAGGCAGTGTTAATAGGGGTCAAAGATTTTGCTGGGCGTAACATATTGAAAGTTCAAAACAAAAAAAAAAAAAATAATATAGTCAACAATTAACTAATAATTTTAGTTAGACTAAAAAGACAATTTTAATTGACGTACTGGGTCTGATTAATTTAGGAAATAACTAGCATTATTTTTGTTTTTAATTAATAAAAGGGATTTCCATTTTATAATATATCTCTATATTAAACTGATAAAGTTAAAGCATTAAGTATTAACAACTTTACACATACGGACAGTTATAGCGTGATTTCAATTAAAATTAAAATAATTTAGTAATTATTTAAGAATAAAGGTGATACTAAATTTAATGAATGTTTTAAATAATTTATAATAAAAATCCCCGCTATATGGAAAAATATAAATCGCGTTTGCTTTCAAATTATTTTTACAGTTGAAATCATATGTAGGTACACATGTTACTCACTCCACTAACAAATATAACGATTTTCAGCTTTTTCGATCTATATTGTTAATTTGAAAGATCAATAGAGATTTCACGTGAATTGCAAACGTAATGAAATTGGAGGGACTTATCTCAGAAATGACATCACCAGCGTCAAAGAAAACTAATCTTATAGGTTTGACGTTATATTCCATATTAAGAAAATATGAGTATATGCCACTACTGTTGTGTTCTATTTAATTCATATTAACATAGGTGTACTATTTCTATTTACGAATATAAACAAAATACATTGTATACGAATTTTAGCTGCCCCAAGTTATTTAAGGAACATAAAATTCTATCACTTATCTAAGATAAATTATATGCTTACTATGCTATCTTTTTATTGTTGGACTGATAAGATATGGAAGACTAAAATTATATATCATTTATAAAATTCCAAGTTTTTTTAACACGATTCCAGAAAATTTAATGAATTATTTCGAAATTTTGTTCATTTCATCATTTTTATATTTCATATGTGCGAGTTTCTATATATATATTCAATTAGATATTTCATTGTATAATGTTATTTATCGAAAAAATTTTAATTTCTGTGATTTAAAAATATTTTTTTATAATATCTAAGTTTTCCCTTTTAAAAGCTTTAAAAAGAATACTGCAATATAATTATGTCGCTTCAAAAACACTGCAATTTGTCATCGTCGTTTATCTTTTGCTCAATACTAACTTTGGATATATGCTACATAAACAATGTTAACAACTGACACAATACAGATACCTACATATATAAATATCTAGAGAGTCTGAAATTACATTTTCATATGCAAATTTTGAAGTTAAACATGTAACAATTCTGTAGTCTCGTATCATTTACAATATGTTAAATAGTGCTGTCGTACGCATAATTTAAACTAACAAATTCTTTATTTGGAATTCGAAAAAATATAGTAATTTCAACTGAAATCATTTTATTGCAATAAAATTGACTAACACTCCCACATTTCAATAAAAAGGGTGAGGTGACTGTTATTTCAGTAGAACGTTGACGTACGAAAAACAATATCAGATATCGTTGTCAATATTATGCAGTTTTCTTATGACATTTGCATACGGTTCTACCCTTCCATTCAATTTACTATAATTAACTTTAATGAAATTATTTTAACATAATTAAGTTAATTATGCAGAATTTGGTTAATAGCAAACAAGAAGAAAATAAATCTTGGTATAATAGAACTACCTTCTTCAATTTGAGAACTACAATAGAACTTCTATAATTCAAATGGCTATAAATCGAAAATTCTTTAAACCATCACAATTCATCGTTCTCTTCACTTTGAAGACGTTAGCCTTTAGAATTCGGTACATAAACCTTATATTATTCATATTAATTTTTAATATCCTTCGAAGTTCTCTTGAGCCGACGTCAACAAATTAAAAATGTTGTGACAATTTGTTGTACCCTTCATTTTGAAGACGTTAGCTTTAAGAAATCCGTACATAAACCTTATATTATTCATATTCATTTCTTGATCTGAGGGCCAATACGTCATATGATAGACATTTTAGTCTCTTTTCTCAAGAAATTTAAGTTTGTAGTGTGAATTGATGTAAATATACATTCTTTTATATTTTGTGCAGTAATTATATTGTAGTATTGCAGCAATATTAGAAATTGCTTTAGTTGTCTCTCGTTATACGTTTGAGAAGCAACGAATAATTCCACTATTCCATTGCTCCATAAATAATTCCAATAATTGAATTTCGTTTTCCATTGCAATTGTAGCAGCACTGAAAGCAAAAATGCTGTGTGAATATACACTTAAGACTTCTTCCGCAAGAAGCTTTTAGTTTGTTGTGGGAGAAGCATATAACATTCAATATTGATATATTTAAAATGCAAAGAAATGATATAGTAACCTGATATAGTAAAATTTAAAATAAATGTAAAGAATTGCATTCATTTATGTGCATTTCCCAGTATCATTTAATATCAATATTTTCCTAGAAAATATATGCCTATTAATTTTTTAACAAGTAATAAATACCATTGACTCAACTAATTTACTTGCTTGTGGTAAAAAAATATTTCAAATTATTATGAAAAAATTTTATTATTAATATTTTTGTATTTATCTGTGATGACGGAATGCTATTAAATATATTGCAAAAAAATTATATGCACAAGCAAATCTATATTAAATATTTGTTTAATACATTTGATATCGCAAATTAAATTACTGCACTACCGTAAATCACATTAAAATTTTAACAAAGAAACATTGAGTGTAAATTGCGAATGTTTGAACTCGGATGTCACCAATATATAGAATTTTTCCGTATATTAAAAAAAATTACAATATGAAATTAACTGCTTTTATTTGTCATGAATATACGCTGCTATTTTATTGGCTATGCCGTAGCTATCACAATTCAGCTATGGACGAAATTGAGAAACCTAAAGCGCTATCTACTGCAGATACACCTATCAGTGAACATATAAATATGTCAGCTTCATTCAATTAAACTGATAATCCTTGCAAGATTCAAGCCTGTTT